CGAAGGAAAGGTTTCTAGAGCAGCAGCACTAAAAAGCAGAATTGTGTGGCTCAATTACTGCATAGCTCTGGAGCCAGAAATGCCAGCCTGTGAAATGGAAGGACTTTGGGCTTCCAAAACAGCATCCAGAATGGTGGGGGAGTTGAAGGAAGGTTGGGAATTGAAAGGAGGCGGATCCATTTTTGGAAACAGAAGATGCATTGAGAGTGTACAAGGGTTGCTTTGCTTCGAATGACAAGGATGGCGAGGCTCCTGGAGGCTAAGTCCTAGGAAGAATGGTTAAAGGAAACAGCTATGCTTTGGCTAAAGAAGAAGGGGCTGAGGAGAGCCCTGACTGAAGTCTTTTGATGTTGAAGAGCTGTCACATGGAAGAGGGGGTGGATTCCTTCTCCATAATGGTCCAGGGCAGGACAAGAAGCAGTGGGCAGAAGCATTTACTGAGGGAGATCCAGGCTCAACTTTTCCTCTCTCCAAGAGCCACTGGCCAGGGTTTCCCCACCTTGACTATTTTAAGGTGCGTGGACTTCAACTCCCAGCATTCGCCAGCCAGCTTTGCTTTGGCAGTTGAAGGCCACTCATCTTACCGTGGTCAAGGTTGAGAAACACCTCACTGAGCAGAGGAAGAGCCAGTCTCCTGAAGTCATGGGTCTCCATCAAGGGAGGGTTTTCCAGCAAAGGTGAGACATCCATTTGCCTCAGATGGTCTGAGGATCTATGCAGGGTTTGGACTTGAAGATCACCAAGATCCCTTCCAACCAACCAACCCCATGAGTCTCTTCTTCAATCTCTTACCAGACTAGGCAAAAATGGACATCCTTCAGCTCTTCTATTTCAAGGGACACTGGTTGCTTTGTTAATTCGTAATACAATCGATCTGCAGGTAGGCAAGGTAAAAAAAAAAGCCACACCTGTCTTGTTTTCACAACTAAATCCAGCCAACCAGTCAGACTGGAACAAAACCTGAGCACTGTCAAGCTAAGCCAGCTTCTGGGAACAGGGGCATCCCTACTTTTATCCTGTAAACAGCTGTAAACCTAGATGAGATTGCAAACTCTGGTTTCACAGTAGAATCTCTGTTTCCCTGCTTATGCCTGAACAAGAGTGATAAAAGGGGCTACCAAATGTTACCTGCTCAGAAATTCAGAGGGAATGTAAAAGATATGTGCAGTCACACACACACACACACACACACACACACACAAATAAGATATTAGAATGTTACAAAAAAAAAAAGCCAAGAGACTCAGATGAGGAAAAAAATTATTCTGCTACTGGATTTCTTCCTAAGCCCAAATTTATCATCAAAAGTAAATTTTAATTGACCTTGAACATTCCTTTATTAGAAGAAACAAAATCTTTTATCCACGTAACTTTTTGCATGTTTTTTCCAATACCAGTTTATAGTTTTACATTCTATGTTTCAAATCCACGGGTACTTTGTCTAAAGAGAGTGAGGTTTAACATGCACTCAGAAACCTTTCTATGATAAATAAACTGGATTGTGACATCCAGAAAAGCAGAGCAATCAGAGGACGGTTGTGTTCAAATCTGGATATGAGTCCGAAGAGACGCATGCCAGGTCATTTATAAAGATTAAATTCTTCAATCATCTCCAACCAAAACAAAAATATCTGAAGAACAGAAGGTGGTCCAAGATTTTTGCTAAAACCAGGGGAGGAAGAAACCCCAACATTTTGTGTGCACAGAGAGTTTAATCCATATAATTTACAGTAGGTAGATGGATGATAGATAGACAGAGATGGATAAATGGAGAGATAGAGAGAGAGATGATAGATGAGACAAAGAACAAAATAGGAAGTAACTGCAACATGGAAAAGTTTTAAATAGCTAGCAATAAGTTACCCTTTCTTTCTAAAGCATCTTTAATCAGGAACAATGAACTAAGACGTAGGTTGCAGATTGAAGTTGCAGTGCAAAGCAGATACGACAAATAGACAGACAGAAACTTTGTCGATAAAATAAAAGTCCATTCAATAAAACAAACACAAAACTATCCCCTAACAACAAGAACTATTGGCAACCATTTGCGGGCCAAACTTACACATCATGTTGCAGAATGTTGCCACTTTTAGAGGAACAAATTTATCTCGATTGTTTAACAAATAACACAAATAAAATTTATCAGAGAGCCCAGGAAATGTAAATGAAAGAGGGGTAATCATGTCCCTGTAGAACTGGCAATGCAGCAGGCAGGCAAAAATCAGAATAAAATGAGGTTGGACGGAGGTTTACAAGTTTAAGATCACTTTCAAAGGTTGGGTTAATACCTGAAAAGCTGAAACGCAAACACAGACCAGATTGGCCTCCCAGGAAATGCTGCATTTTTATTTATTTTTTATTTTGTCATTCTGAATTTTAGGTTAAGTGGGGAAAAATGTCTATGATGCATGTACTTGGTTGGTTAGCCTACATTTTCCTGGCAGACACATTTCCAAACATAAATTCCCCCACATTGTGTCTGCACTATGCATCGTATGTTTAAGTTCTACGTTCAGATTCTTCTAATCAGAGAACTGCAAAGACTATAAAAAGGGGTTTTGCTGCCATATGTGATGGCTGGGCGGATTGTCGTAATTTCTCTCCATGGAAATCCAGGGCTGATCTGCATCCCTGCATGAAGCCAGAACTCAGGTTTGGCTTATGATCGTCATTGAAGGCCTGCTGAGGGCAGGCTGCCTTTAAGGAATCTCTGCCACCTCGGAAGACAAACCAGCTGGGGAGAAGGTTTGCTGATTAAACCAGCAAGTTGCCTGTCCACATCTTGAAGAACGAGGGATGTGCTAAAAACTGACCGAGGCATTAAAGACCCTGAGCCTGATGACAGAATCACAGAACCCCCTCAGCCTTCTCTGGATCTCCCCTGCACCACAACCAAGTTTTGGAAGTGATTTTGGCCCTTGTGACTTTCAGGATATTTTTTACACACCACACACTGAACCACAAACCAACCAGGGTTTGGGAGGCAGCGTTTGCGCAACACACACGAGCCACACATATTTTGAAAAAAGAAAAGGATGCAAGGGACAAGTGTAACTAAAGGCTACTGCTAATAAAACGTAGCCAATTCTGGAGCTGCAGTTTCTAGATTAAGCAACTGGCATAAATGCAACGAAAAGAAGACTTTTGCAAAGGTGCCTATCGGTGGAGGCTCCTGGCCCTGAAGCAACTTTTGATGCCTTAATGAATCAGCCCAAATCCCCCCTTCCACAAGAGACGTGGCTTCAAGGACTCTCCCTGTTCAAATGCCAACAGCTGAGAATGGATTTCAAAGTGGGAGAACCTCACCAGAATCGCCAAGTGGAGCCAATAAGGGCACCGTTCAAGCAAAGATGTTGCACCCGTTGGATTTCTCACTTAAAGGCGAATGAATCTACGTACCTAAAGCCTTCGCTTTCTAAACCATGTCTCTGTGCCACAGCATAGACGGTGACTGCCATGGTGTCATCCATGCTTTAGCCTGGTTCAAGGCGCACAAGATGGGGCTTTGATCTCATTGTTGCAGTGACTATCTTGGCTTTAGGGCCCCCATTTTTCTTTCTGTCCTCCACTGAACGTTGTTTTAGAAGTGCCTGTAAGGAGGCTGCACTTTTCCTTTTGAGGGAAAGGGATATACGGTCATATTATATTGTATGTTATAATGAATTGAATTGAATAGAATGACAGAGTTGGAAGGGACCTTGGAGGCCTTCTAGTCCAACCCCCTGGCTTAGGCAGGAAACCCTACACCACTTCAGACAAATGGTTGTCCAACCTCTTCTTAAAATCTTCCACTATAAGTTACGGAAGAAAAATAAGACTGGAAAGATTAATTGTTAATTGCAATAATCTTTCCAGTGTGAACCTTTTCCGGATACAATGGACACAATTCCCATCCAGCTATCCAGTGAGAGGCAGCGTGGCTTAGTGGTAAGAGGGCTAGACCAGGATGGAGAAAACCAGCTCCAGCTCTCTTGCAGCCATGGAGGGATCTGTCTGGGTGACTTTGGCCCAAGGAGATTTCTCCACTTACTCTTTCTTACACAAGCTTGTTCAGAGGAGATAGATAGATAGATAGATAGATAGATAGATAGATAGATAGATATAGATATACGTGTGTGTGTGTGTGTGTGTGTGTGTGTGTATGAACAAGCACCATTTCAAAAGAAATATTACCAAAACAGCTTTTAAAAACTATAGTGCTCAGTCCATATTTCTGTCCAATCCCAATTTTCTCATCCCACTAGTAAATTGGTTTAATAATCCAGCTTCCTAGCCCGATGCAATTTCCCATTATTCAGAAATAAATCCCACTGTGGTCAAAGGTTATTATTTCCACGACTTTACACAACATTTTTTTAAAAAAAAAAAAAATCTCCCCCATCTCTTAGTATCTTCAGCATGGAGCTGCTTCGTTCCTTCCCCCGCCACTCCTCAAAGATGTTTTTCCTTCTTCCCAACTGTGCCCACCCAAATCTTAACCCCGTTTCGTCCTTCCTTGCTTTAGGTAGAGTCCGCTGATTGCTGACACCTAGCTAGGTGTGAGATTGAGAGAACGGCTGTCGGATAATTCCACCTGAGCTGATTGCAGCTGCCCAACACACTTAGCCTTGGCCCTCAAAAGTGGGAGCAACACTGTTGGGTATGAATCAGGACCTTCCCCCCTGCAGAGTTGAAGTTTTTCCCAGCTAATTTTGAGCCAGCCCTTGTGGGTCCCCTGGAGCCAGTGCCAAAAGAGGAGGAAAAACCTCCTGGTCAGTAATGCTGATACAGATAAGGAGAAGTTTAGCTCAACTTAAGATGTGAAGGCAACGTTCTGCAGATGTGAAGGCAATGTCCTGAGGACCTGCCTGGGCACATCTGGGGTCTCATCTTCCTTCCAGCATCACGGTACATCTCCCTACTTAGTGCAATCCCCACATTGTGATGTCACTGTGGAGGAGAGGACCGTGAGCTCAGGTATCCTCAAGTATAAAGGAGGAGGGCACCAGCCCTCGACCATCAGTTCAACTTGACCATCATCAAAGAGGGCAACTCTGGCACAGGCAGGCAGGGGTGAGTGCATCATACATGCTTGGCTCTGGGCTACAAGCCCAGAAGTGAAACTCAGGGCATTCAGAGGGGCTGGATCTTAAATAAATGGATCGTTAGGGGATCCACCCAGCAGGAAATGAACCTGTTGAAAAGCTTTAGCTGGATGGGAACAAACCAGGGAGGCAGATTTCAGAGGGCAGAATCTAGGCTCTAGGTTGCATTCACACATTTCCCCCGGCAGATTCCTTACATCAAAGGATGCATTATTCACTCCTCATTTTGAAGGTCATCAACACAAGGATATTATTATTATTATTATTCAGAAGGCTTTGCCGGTCCAGTCAGAGTCACCCCAAACAAAGCTGCAGGAGGGCAAAAGGCGTGAAAAGCAGAAGACCATCTCTCCTTGAATTTTCTCTCCCCCATGATTCCCACGGTCTTGGCGCTGCCTCAGTTTCCCTAGGCGAGGGCCATTCCCCCGCCCCCCGGGTTCCACATCGCCCTTCTTCTTTCCCCTTCCAGAGAAGCCGATGCCTTCCCTTGCTTCCCGCCGAAGTCGCGGGCATTTCCCCGCAAGCGAGCGTCCGCGCATCCCCCCGCCACTCTTACCCGAGCCGACTTCGGCCGCTGCTGCCCGCCGTGCGCGGAAGGGGAGAGCCAGGCGCGAAGGTGGAAGAAGCCGCCCACAACACAGCGAGCGAGAGAGCGAGAGAGAGAAGCGGCCCTTGGAGCAGGGCGTCCGCTGCCCCGAGCGCCTTTCCCTCTGGGCGGCGGGCGAGCCCGGCGGCGGCTCTTGGCAGGGGCGGGGGGCGGACCGAGGCCGGCTGGGGCGGCAGGCTCTGGCGAGCCGGGGCGGGTCCGGGACTTGGGAAAAGTGCCCCGCGCAGCGCCCGCTCCGCCCGCTCGCTCCGCCAGCTGCGCCCCGGAGATGGGCGGCTCTGCTGGGCGCTCGTTCGCCCGCCCGCCGCCCCCGAGCGACCCTCCCCCGCCCGCAGCGCAGCCCCGCGTGGCCCGGCGGCGGCTGCCAGCCTCGGCTTCCCCGCCGCTTCCCCGCCGCCCGAGCCCTCCCGCCCAAGCCGGCTTGGCGCAAAGTTGGCAGCGGGCAGCGCGACGGCCGTCAGGTGGGCAGCGGGGCCGTTACCTGGCGGGGTCTCCGGGTGGGTCGGAGCCGTCTGCGGAGGAGCCCCCGGAGGGAGAGTGGGAGCCCCCGCCGCCCGCTTCCCCTAAAAGCTGCCCGGTGCAAAGGGGGGGCCGGAGGGGAGGGCGGAGGGTCTCCGCCGCCGCCGCTGCTCTTCCCGGGAAGCCTCCGCTCTGCCTTGGGGGGATCCCCGCCGCCGCCGCCGCTGCTCCTCCTGGAGGCGTATTCCTCGCGAGGAGGCGGCGGCCCTGAGCTCCGATTCTGGGCTTCCTCTCAAAGAGTCGGAGGTCCCTTCTCCTCCGCCCCCCCCCCCCGTGGCACAGACCCCACCCCCAGCCGGCCTGCTCCCCATCCCCCCCTCCGACCCAGCCTTAACATCTCTTAGGGGTTGCTGCCACCCTGGAAGAAATTCAGGTGTCTGGCACCGGGAGGAGGGTGGCAAGGAGTCCACTTTCTGGCCTTGAAGGAGGAATCAAGCTGGGGGAAGGGTCTTGCACAAGGCAGACCTTAAAAGCCCATTACAACTTGTGTTTAGCTTCCTAACATGTTGGACTACAACTCCCATCATGCAGAGATTGGGAATTATACCTTACCACAGCTTCAGAGTGCCAGTGGGCTAAGTTAGTGGGGTGCGATGGTTGGGGGGACAAACCCCTGTTAAAAAGGACCAAGTGGCCTAAATAGATGGAAAGGCCCTCCTGCAAGTACCCCAGATGACCTCCCTTCCTCCCATTTCTCTTCGGCCTGGGATGAAAGAGGAGTCCAAAGACCTTGGATGACTTCTCCCTGCCCTGGCCAGGAATCCCCAGCCCCTCCCAGCCCAGTAGCTGCCGGCCTTCTCTCTAGGACCACAGACCTCCTTTGCGGCAGCCTTCATGCTCACCGGATCCTAAAATTCTACACCCCAGAAAAGCCTCTTGGACTCCAATTGAGCCTTCAGCCCTACTTCACCAGAATGGGAGCGGGACTGTCATAAGTATTTTTGTTTCCACGGATTCTTTTATTTATTAAATTTATAGGCTGCCCATCACTGCAGTAAGATGACTCTCTTTGTTGCTTTTATTATTAAAAGAGTCACTTGCGTGAGTTGGGCGGCTACCGAAATTGAATGAATGAATAAAATCAACTTAGCTTTGCAGCTTCTCATTCTGCGGTGCGCCATCCAGAGTCCTGTGAGGCAGGGAAGGGCTACAAATACAGCTAAGTAAATAAGTAAATTCGGGAGTTGGAATATTAAGTCACCCGGTCTGGCACAGGATTACTAACATGAAATTAGTCACTCGTATGAAAACGGCACAGGTTTGCCTGGGCTGTATCCCCTGAATTTGTAATTTATCTAAACATCAGGAGTTGTGGACTTTTCATGCATGAAAGGGGCAAAACAAATTATTACAAGCTCTGGAAGGCATGCCCTATTTTTGATTTGCACCAGTGGGTTGCTGATTCATTTTGTTTGGCATCATTTGAGTTACATATTTTTTTCCTACCTTAGAAACCCAGAAGAAGATTTACAAGTGATGGAAATGAAGAGGGAGAGAGAGAGAGAGAGAGAGAGAAAGGGAGAGAGAGAGAAAAGAGAAAGAGAGAAAGAGAGGGAAAAAAGAGACAGAGAGATGCTCATTCTCTCCCCCTTTGTTTGATCTAATGAAATAATAAGAAGGTAATTACCTCGCTTTATAATTAATGGATAAGAGAGAACCCAGTTTGGGATGGTGATTATAAGTGCTGGGAAGAAACCAGGAGGCTGTGAGTTCTAGTCCTGCCAGGCGAAAGGCCACCTGGGTGACTTGGGGAAGTCCCTCTCTTTCAACCCCAGGAAGGCGGCGATGGCCAACCACTTATGAAGAAAGAGCAGGGCCACGCTGCTGTGGTTCCCAGCAATCGAGGCTGATTCTAAGGCAATTTAGTCCAATTTGACGCCACTGGGGATGTTACAGGAGAAGGCCAGCAGCTGAAAGACAGAGGCCAGCTACCTGCCTCTGATCCTGGAGCCCTCACAATCTGGAAAGGAAATGGGGTGGAGACCAGCCATGTTTCTTGGTGCGCCTTTTATCTGCCTCCGTCTTCCTCTTCTTTCTAATCTTTCTGGGCTGGGGGAAGATCAAAGCCCAAGAAGGCTCCAGGAGAGTTCAGAGGCAGACGCTGGTGCCTCAACTGGCGGCTAGGAGGGAGAGTTGGAGGCAGGGAAAGGAGATGCCAGGAGCACCAAAGAGGCCAACTTGGTACCAAGGTCTCCCTGCCAGGATCTTTGTGTGCTTGTGGTAGGTCCCTCAAACCAAATTCATCTTGTTCCTAGCACAGGTCCTGCATCATGTTTGCTTAATTTTTGTTTTTTTATTATTATTAATGCAACCAGATCTAAGTTAGTCCAGATGATGCTCTCTGCAACAACGAAGCTAAGGAATAAAAAGTTCAGGCAGGTTATAATTTTAGAAAAACCGAGTTGCCAGTCTTGACTTGGAAGAAGACTAAAATTCCATGGAAGTAAGAAATTGGCAGACAAAGGAGAAGGAGGCAGCCACAGCGTTTCTCTGAGAGGTCGGTAATTCTGTACAGGGGGAAAAAAAAACAGTTTTTGCAGTAGAGTTTTCCAAAAGGCAGATTTTCATCTGCAGCCCTATTCTTGTACCCAGAGAAAAGAGGCAGCAAGGAACACCAATGGGTACTCGGATAGCAAGTGATACCATGGCACCGATGGGTACTTTGTGCCAAGGACGCAGAGGTCATAGCTTGCTCTATAGGTTGCATGAATCTGACCCCAATGGGAAATTTGGAAAACCATGATTGATGGTTATTAAGCAAATCTGGCTTCCCCCATTGACTTTGCTTGTTGGAAGCCAGCTGGGAAGGTCCCAAATGGGGATCACATCAGCCCGAGGCAGGGAAACCGTCATAAATACATGCCAGTTGCCAAGTGCCTAATTTTTTCATGTGACCATGGGGATGCTGCAATGGTCATAAGTATGAAAACCGGTCATAAGTCATTCTTCAGTGTCATTGTAACTTGAAAGGGTCACTGAGTGAATGGTTGTAAGTCAAGGACTGCCAAGGATGAAAACTGGAAGAAAAGACTGGGCTTCTCTGCCTCCTCTCTTCCTCGGTCCTGAGTAGCTGGAGGGAAGTGAGGCAGGTGATCGGGTTGATCACACGGTCAGTCTCGGAGTGAAGGCGAATCAGCCGCGCAACCGTCTCTCCTGACCCTTTGGGAATGGAGGTGGGAAGAGGAGGGGTGAGCAGAGTCTTCATCCAGAATGGAAGGCCAGGAGGCAAAGCCCAGAGGACACAGCCAGGAGGAAGCCTTCCTGCTTCCACTCTCACAGTCCCATCGTCGTTCCGTTCTGGATGAAGATGAGCTAAGAGAAGATATTCTCAATTCACACAGGTCCTCTGAGGTCTTCAGACTGAGGGTCACGGGTCATACAAGCAGACAGAGAGAGAGAGAGAAGGAGAAAGGGAAAGAAGAGAGAGAGAAAGAGAAAGGAGAGAAAGAGAGAGAAAGAAAGGAGAGAGGGAGATAGAGAGAAGTGAAGCTGGGAGAGCAAGAGAGAGAGAAACCTGTCTTAAGGCAGCTGCAGTGAGTCATTAGGTTGGTTTCCCAAAACCAGCAAATGGGAACTTCTGTCCCAGTGCCAAATTTCCTGCCAATGCACAGTTTGATCACCGTCTCTGAGCCGTCCACAAAAGCCCCTTCTCTGCGTCCCTCTGAAGAGGGGAGGAAACACCCAGATCCTTTTCATGGATCCAAAGACCCTCTGGTGCTGGGGAATTGTACTCCTTTACCAGAATCATCAAGCCCTCAATTCGGCAGGAAGGCTGCCAATGCTCTTGGCCTGAAGATGCCAGTCAAGGACAGCCAGGCAGGCTGGAGGCCAAAATACCTTGGTCAATCATACCAAACTTAAATTAAGATTTAGAACATAGAATAACAGAGTTGGAAGGGACCTTGGAGGCCTTCTAGTCCAACCTCTGCTCAAGCAGGAGACCCTGGACTATTTCAGACAAATGGCTATCCAGTCTCTCCTGAAACGCCTCCAGTGTCTGGAATCTTCCCTGCCCTTCTACACACGCACACCAAAAAAATCCACCAAAGCTCTCTCTTTCAAAGGAATTTTTTTTTTTGTAAATTGAAGGGGAAATGAGGACTTATTTTTTTTGGTTGTACAATTCCGTGCCTCTGTGTTCTTCTGTATCCATGGAGAAAAGGCTGAATTATACTTTCTCCCACATGCAAATCCACTTTATTTCATATTTAAAAAGGGATGGTAACCCGGCTCATTTCTCGCATGTGAGAACTGCTTGGCAAGAGCAGCTAATTACGTTATTAATAAGGCCGCAACTATAAGCAGCAGCAATTAATTAACGGGCTACACAATGGCTTTTTGTCTTTGGAGAAGAGGCCAAGCTGAAGACAATCAGGATTTCAGGAGAGAAGATGTTGGGGTGAAGGAAGCTTACAAAGACGGTCCAGAAATATTTCCATCCACATTATTCCTTCTCAGTCGACCATTCGTGATTTATCCTTTGCTAGCTGAGCTTTGCCTGGATAGAAGACTTCCTGCCACAGAGACCATGAAGTTCTCCTCATGGATGATCTTTGTGTCACTCAAAGTCCCACAAGCTCAACATCTGGAAGGGAGTTCTCTGTGTGTGTGTTTGAGTGTTGTGCAGCTGCAAAAAAAATTCATCCAGCTACCAACAAGGTTCTGGCAGAGAAGGCGCACGAGGCCATAAATCAAATGTTCTTACTATTAGGCTGGGTTGTACAACCATAAAGCCCTCCTTGGCTGCAACGGGGAGTGGCAAAGGGCCAAGCAGCAGCTGTGTTCAACTCAATGGGGACCGAGATTTCGGCAACCGATTCACACAGGATCCCTCTTTGGCGTTGTCTTCTGAATAAGATGGTGGCCAACGTTACTCCAACCAGGAATCTTCTCTCTGAAACAACCTTAAATGCCCAGGTATTTCACAGGGTCTACCCAGGTGTAACCGAAGCTAAGCATCTATTATTGCTAGGATATAATTGTTCTGGGCTCCACTTGACTCCCTTCTGGCTTTTCAAGAGTTTTGCACTACTCTTCCCAAGGGCTGTAGAGTCTTCCTTCATTTCTAGATTAGAGTTCTGCAATCAAGATCAGAGAATATGGCATACAGAATAAGGGTTTAAGGGACTTTGGAGGTCTTCCAGTCAGGAAACTCTATACCATTTCAGACAAGTGGCTCTCCAGTCTCTTCTTAAAAACCTCCAGTGATGGAGCACCCACAACTTCTGGAGGCAAGGAGTTCCACTGGTTAATTGATATTGCTGTCACGAAATTTCTCCTTAGTTCCAGGTTGCTTCTCTCCTTGATTAGTTTCCATCTGTTGCTTCTTGTCCTGCCTTCAGGTGCTTTGGAGAATAGCTTGATTCCCTCTTCATTATGGCAATGCCTGAGATATTTAAAAAGTGGCTTTTTTCCCCTCCCTGGATCTGAATTTGTATCGGATGTTTGTTTGTTTGTTCCATTTTTGTTTTGTTTTCTAAGGAAATGGGCAAGTCCATTTTAGAAAAATAACTAAGTTCTTCTATCCAACTTCATCTGTCAGTTTCCATTCTTTTAAGCTTTAGGTAACAATTTCTGAAGTTTTGAAGGAAGATTTCATATCTGCAGAACAATTTCTATCTTAAGTGGTTATTCAGATAGCAGAGAACTTAAGATTCCCCCAAATCTAAACTATGCTGCCAGAACTTGACAGATTCGAGAAGAAATAATTTCTCAACCTTGATATCCAGTTTTATCTTCATTATTGCTAAATAAAATAGAATAAACTCCAAAGCATGGTTGATGCTAAAATTAATCCAGGTAATTCTAGTAGAAAGAAATCCTTGGGAAAAAAATGCCCTCTGGTGGCTGGCTGTTAGAGTTTTTTGAATGAGCCATAACACTGAATAATAGCTTGTACAATTTTAGGTAGGAAGGGAAAGAAATCCACCATTTAATCAAGGTTTCTCGACTTTGACAACTTTAAGATGCGAGGACTTCAATTCCCAGAATTCCCCAGCTGACACAAGGCAATTCTGGACTCTCAAGTTTACTCAACATCTCAATTGTTAAGTGTGAAGTTGGCAATTGTTACAAGGAACTATCTGTGAGGGATGGTGGCAGTGGATGGAAGGGAATTCCGGTGGGCTACAGTGAAGCGAGAGTTTCCCAGGAAGAAGGGATAAATTCTAGAAAGGTGGAGGAGAGACCAGAGCTAAAGAGGAGGCAGAGGAAGAGAGTTTTAGGTCAGCCACTGCCTAGAATCTCCCAGGAATTCTCCATTAGGGTGAGAGTAGTAAGGCTTTAACCTGGCAAGATTCTGTCTATTGTGTGTGAGAAATAAAGAACTGAATTCTGGCAAGATTCAACTGTGTTGCTCTTGGACTAAGCCTCACATCATCATCAAATCTCAGGTGCAGCTCCTTCCCACCCGCCCTTCCCTATTTCTTCAACCCAGCAGTGGAGATCAACTGTCCTAGAAAGGTAGGAGAAAGAAGTTGACGGGTTAAAGTCTGGAACATATGGAACATATAGAGCATGGGCCTTGGCTTCTGTATGCTGCAGCAGACAGTATATTTATTATTTACCCCATAAAACATCTAATCTAGCCAAGCTTTATCTGTGAGCCTCCTGCCAAGTCAATTCCTGAAATAGGAGTCAAAATTTCCTGCTGGAGGAAAGCCTGACATTAACCACTGCACCCACACTAACTGGGTTGGCTTTGATTTTTCTAACCTAGCCAACATTGGGGGCTTGGAAGATGAGGAGAAGAGGCAACGAAGTCAAGGAGTGGTCAGGAACAAGGGTAAGCGAAAGGGATTGTTTGGAAAGAAGGATTCAAGGAAGGAAGACCATAAATTCTTCCTTGCACTGCATATTAATTTAAGCGAGAGAAGAATTTGAGAGGTTGTTCCCTGCTTTGGAGAAAGGCAGGCGTACCAACAAAGCTAGATATGTGTTCTCAGTGAGATTCAGATAATGACCCATCGGCACATTTGATTTAAGGCTGCTCTCCCTGGTTTGTGGTGTTTCCCATTTCATGTAATGCTGCGGGAGAGGAGATGGTTAATTCGATGGAAACAGCAGGAGAAAGAGACAGATAATCTTACCTTCGTGCTCTCTGCCATTCTTTCCATCCAACCTGCCTCGCATCTGCTTCTATTTTCATTGTGGAAGAAAATGGAAGGAGAGACATTTTGATCTGGAAAACAATACCAGAAAAGAAAAGAAAAAGGAGCAGAACAGTTTGTCTCCTGCAGCTCTTCAAAAGTTGGCAAATAGAAGGGAGAAAATTTCTCTATCATCCAACGCAACATAAATATAGTGTGATTCCCGCAGAGTGTTGAAAAGTGACGATTACAAACATCGGCCACAGGAAATGGCTGCAGAGAGACACAAATTGTTTTTCTTCAGTCTTAAAGCAGAACTTTTCTAAAAAACAACTCTTGTTATTTCATATTAAAAATATGAAGCCATGGCTAAGTCAAAGAAACACCTGAGCAACTAGAGGAAACAGAGTGAAAAGCTTGTGGTGATTTCCAAATACACAGTACGTTGTCACCTCATTTATGACTAGTAATAAACATAACTGTAATTATTAATTTTTCAGCAGTTTCCTTTTTCATTTACAGAATATCACTACGTGAGCCTCCCATCTTGATTCACAGTTTATGTCTTCACCAGGTATATATTTATTACCTGCTGACTTTTCACTATCCGAGAAATGAGAATGCATCCATTTGAAACGCTGCATTTGGCATATGCACAGGTATGCAACTCACGAGCACAATTAGAACCAGAAGTTCTGTTGCTAAGTGAGCTGAGCTTGATTTTCTGACCTTTTTAGTTAAGCCATCCATGACAGTTCTTAAGTGAAACATGCAGTCGTTAAATAAAACCGGCTTCCCCTCCCCCACCCATTGACTTTGCTCGTCAGAAGCCAGCTGGGGAGGCTGCAAACAGAACTGCTATGACCTTGGGATGCTGCAACTGACCAAGTCCCTGCCAGTTGTTAAATGCCTGGATTTTTTTTTTTTATGTTTTTAGAAAAAAAAATTTTTTTTTAAACAAACAGTTCATCATTAATCAATCAATGTAACATCTGGGTGCAAAAATTTTTGTGTCATCATATTCAACATTTATTATCATTTTCTTAGTACATATATATCTTTCTTCCTACATTTAAATTCAATGTATTACAACATATTTTCCCCATATTTCTTATTTTTACATTGCCTATTGTCTATATTCAGTCTCTATTCATTGATAAAATTGCCCCCATATGTTGTAATACTCCGATTCTTCCTTCCCTCAAATTGCTAATGTTAATTACTCATTTCTGCACATTCTAATGTTTTCTTAATTAGCTCTCCCTTTGTAGGATTTTTTTTCTGCTTTCCAATTTTGTGCAAATACCATTCTTGCTGCCGTTATTACATGTATAATCAAAGATATATTTTCTTTACTAAATTTCTCCGGAAAGATACCCATGCCTGGATTTTGATCATGTGACTGTGGGGATGCTGCCACAGTTGCAAGTGGGAGAACCAGTCGCAATTTGCTTTTTTCAGTGTGGTTGTAACTTCGAAGGGTAGCTGAAGGGATGGTTGTAAGTCAACCATCCCTTCAGTACTGTAGGTACTCTTAGCAAAAGAATCTGCATTCAAATTTCAGCTTCTCACAGCAGTTGAGAAGCTCTAAAACATTTACTCTACTCTCTGAATCTATCTTCCTTCCTTCCTTCCTTCCTTCCTTCCTTCCTTCCTTCCTTCCTTCCTTCCTTCCTCACTGATCTGGTTATTAAAGAATGAAAAAAAAAATAGCTGTGATTTTGTTTCTTAAAGTGCATTGAAGAATTAATTAATTTAGTAATTTTTGGTGCCTTTCAGTCAATGCTGACTAAGTAAAAAGCTACATATGACATTGTGCCACAGAGTTATGGATATTCATTTATATTGGGTTTTACACCGATCAGTCCGTCTGCCTGTGCTCTACAACTTCACTAGGTGAAAAACCTCTCACTAAGCCACGAAGGAGCATGCCGGGTATTGTAAAAGGTTGGTTTAAAAATAGAAAGTGGCAGCTATGGTTTATTGGTCTAAGGATGAGGCTGAGAGTAAGAAACTTTCCTAAAATAGCAGAGTCAGCTTATATCTGCTGGAAATTTTTAAACTGCCCTGAACTGCTATGTGGTTTAAAAAACAGATCAGTCACTCTAGTTTAAATAACCTGTCTCACAAGATGTGGGGGGAAAAATGTAGAAAAGAGCCACGCAAAAGATTGTCTGATAAATTCAATACAACCCTATTGTACTGGGAATATCCCACTCAGTTTTGGGGAGCTCTCACTCCAGAGTTACTCATGGCTCCCAGATGTTGGTTAAGATTGGGAGAAAGGGGAGAAAAGGGGAAGGAAGGGGAGGAGAAAAGAGGACAGGGGAAGGAGGAGAGAAGAGAGGAGAGGAGAGGAAAGAAAAGAAAAGAAAATAAAGAGAGGAGAGGAGATCCATTTTCCTATCATACAACATAGGAAAAGCAGAGTCAGCCATAACTTGTGTTTATCTCCTCTTGTAGATGATCAAGTGTGCCTACTATAATGTTTGAGGGTAAAATATGATGATGTTCGCAGCGATGGCAACCCTTACAGTGGGGAACAAACAACCTGAGGACATTTTGCAGAAAGAAGAGAGGTGCTCATAAGGAATTTATCTGGGTGGCGGTTTTGAATTTACCTCTGCTGAGAGGTGGCTCGGACTGGTTGGCTTGAGTTTTGCGGTTCTGCATCTGTCACTCCCTTTTGCAGTCCTCTTGGAAGTTTCCCCTTAGGAAGTTTTCATATGGACCTTCGGGAATGATGGGAAAGCCAGAGAGAAGAAAGAAGAGATCTGAACGAGGAAAGAAAGACAGGCTCCCTCCAGACACTCTAGACACCCCTCTCTAAAGCTCCTCATTTCCATGTTGCTGAAAAGTTTCCCAAGAAAGCCTCAATATTGCTACTCCTCGGTATTTCTTGTCTCCCAACATTAACTTGGCTTTCATTAATGTCATTAATTCCCCCTTTGACTCCCCTGAAGTTCAGGTGGCTTTCCATCAGGTGGTTTTAATGCACTCCTACAGAGGCGATGGCCCTTTGGCAACCGCAGTGAAGGAGTTGCATTCACAAGGTCAACCATATTTATGGGGAAAGCATCTTCAGTTTAATAAGAGGCATGGATTTCAGTGGGGCTTCTTCCCAGGAGGAGCTGGAGGGTTGCCAAACGGTCTTGCTGCTACATTTTACTAGATTGGAAGGTCAACTGTTTATCTTTGGCCTTTGAAGGAGAAGGATCACAATTTGCAAACAGATCTGCAATGTAACTTACCCAGTGAAACTTGTCTCATTCTGTACAGCAGAGTGCTTTGCCTAGTTGGTCAGATCCGCCATGATTAATCAGAGTCTCTTGAAAACAAACTTTCTAGGTGTCACTTACACAGAGATACCCTCTAATGCAAAAAATAAATAAATAAATGTTAAGACTTTAAAAAGAGGGCAGAGAAGAGCAGCAAAGATGATTAGGGGGCTGGGGGCTAAAACAAATGAAGAACGGTTGAAGGAATTGGGGATGTCTAGTGTGATGAAAAGAAGAACTAGGGGACACATGATAGCAGTCTTCCAATATTTGAGGGGCTGCCCCAAAGAAGGTGGAGTCAAACTATTCTCCAAAGCACCTGAAGGCAGGACCAGAAGCAACGGATGGAAACTAATCAAGGAGAGAAGCAATTTAGAACTACGGAGAAATTTCCTAACAGTGAGAACAATGAATCAGTGAAACAACTTGCCTCCAGAAGTTGTGGATGCTCCAACACTGGAGGCTTTTAGAAGAGATTGGACAGCCACTTGTCCAAAATGGTACAGGGTTTCCTGCCGGAGCAGGGGGTTGGACTAGAAGACCTCCAAGGTCCCTTCCAACTCTGTTAGTCTGTTATTTTTTTAATTGCTTTTTTGCTGCACAAGGCAATTTTTAGTTGTATGCTCACTTTAATGTGATTTACTTGAGCAACATGTCCAGAATCCAGCTAATGTTTGGCTGCCTTTCAGTCTTTTGCAGTCTAGTTTAGAAACGCACAATTTATTGGGTTCAGCTTCATGGAAACCATCTGCATTCCTGTTAAACTATCCATTGGCATCCTACATCGATGGCAAGCTGAAGCTTTGGATATTGATTCAAAATCAGTATAGCTGCTCATTGTATTGTAATGGGACCAGATGAGCCAGCTGTGTTTCGTTTTGATGGGAAGAGTAGATATTGTTGGAAAACCTGGGTGTTGCAGAACCTACTTTGTTCAACCTATCACTCTGTTAATGGTACTTGGTCTACTGAAGGTCCTTTGGACTCATTGACTATTGTCTCTAAGTGCTGAATTTTATTTTCCTGGCATGGCTGTGTGTTTCAAAATTGAAAAAGAGATTAATTCTAGCAACATTATCCTGGGAGACCTGTATTTACCCTCATTTGAAATTCATGATCTTTTGAGACTTCTTTCTGTAAGCCGGTCCCAGACTTGATCCATAGAGAAGTCAGGTCTTCCTACCGGCCACATTCCATTATAAAACAAATAAACCTAATTCTGAAGATGGAGAGAAGAAGTTGGAAGAAGATGCCATCCCTAAAGCTAAAACTGAGGATTTGAGCACCCTTTGAGCACACGCTCATGTTCAAGGGAAGGAAGAATATCCACGCACAGCTTGAGTCTGATTGTTGCTACTTTTAGTCAAAGCCTGGGCTGGATCTAAACTTCCTTCCCATTTATCAACTGAAGATGGAAATGAGCTCCACACCACACTTTGGATGCTTCTGCAGTGAAAGGATTAGGCAGCCATAAATTCTAGCCCAGAGGACTCTGAATGTGTGAACAGCACAAATTCTTCAGGGAGGCTCCTTTCATGTCCTCCATGCTGTCATGGAAGAAAGGCTCCTGAGGTCCACCAGCTGATGTCCACAGCTGGTGATTTGCAAGGTCAAAAACATCAATATGGTGGCCATGATGATTCCACTTGGAGCTTCACCTACATGATTGCAGCTGCCAGCTTGAATTTTTTTACTACATCCTGTAAATGCTCACGAACTCCTGACAAGAGCAACTATCTACATGATTTAGGAGAAAACCTAGGATGTTGTGGAACAATGCAAATGTTTTCCTTAACTGCGAACATAAAAAAAAAAAGATTACTTGGCATTTGCCTATGATCAGATGTATTACTGATTCATATAGTATGTCTAATTTTGGGGGACTACCACTTCAGGAAGGGGTGAGAATGTAGGTCCTGATCTCAGGATTGAAATGCAGCTTGTTTGATCTGATAGAGCAGGGGTGTGAAACTCACATCATCATGCCGGTGCTATTTGACATATTGGCATCCCCTCCCCCTTTGCTAAACCAGGCGAGGGCATGGCCAGCGTGTGATGCATCTGGCCTGTGGGCCAGGAGTTTGACAGCCCTGAGATAGAGAATGCAAGGATGTCATTAGTCTTATCCTACATTTCCTTTAGAATTCCACACCTGTTTGCTTTCAGCAAGGACAAATCTCAAATTTCAACTGATTTGTCATCCTTGTGAGTTCTTGTGGAGACCCAAGTCAAGAGAAAGGAGAACTAGCACTGATGATGTTCCCTAGATGGGTCATGAAACGTCTGCAAGAAAACCACCAAGCTCGGAGAGCACCGAGGATCCCTCATGTCAACCCTGAGCTGCAAATATTCTCCTTTAAAGGAGGAATTGTCCAGGTGCCGTGCTTGGTTCCCTCTTCAGCTTGGGCGAGCTTCTCAGCAAAATTTAAAGGCGGTGTTTGCTTATGCTTGAGATGACAAAGCCTGGGGAAGAGGACTTGAGTTCACTTCTGTCGTGGTGGTAGCTGTGGTTAGATTGGATGCTGTAGAGCAATAACTATAGGAGAATTTTCCAGAAAGGTCAGTGACTGTGTTATCCTCCTCTTTTCCTTCCTTTTATTTGAAATGCAAACAATGGAATCATGCACTCCCATCTATCTCAGTATCCAGGTCTATATAACTGTTTATAGAAAGAATAATTCTGGCTTCTATGGAATTAAAGAGCTGGCACATATCTCCTTCCACATAACCCACATGGGCTCCCACCAAAGTGATTAAAGGAAGTTATCCTGGATACATGTAAAGTTTGTTAAGACCATCCATTCTGGCAATCCGGTTGTCTCAGCTGAAAACTATCTGAACACACCACTGTCCATTCTTTTTCTTTTTTAGCGAACGCACAGCTCTGCTCATTGTAACAGAATGTCAGATACCCTTTGATTCTTTTATTAGATATAGTGCAATGTCACTTATCTAAGCAAAATTATATTGATTTCTCTGGGTTTTGGCAAACCCCAGGCAATAAAATGGCTCCTTCTTGCCAAGCAGAGCTGACAGGCCTGTTGATTTATAGCTTGGCTGTTTAGAAAAACAGGAGGGATAGTATTACTTGCGAATGAGGACTGGCTGGAAGGAAAACAAAAGCCATTGTGTCTTAAGGCCCCGAAGGTTATTTAGCTTCAGCAAAGTAGCCATGCCGTAGCCATGTAGTCCAATTAGAAAAGCTGAAACCCATCCAATTCATGGCTTGGTATGGCGAGTGATCAGGGAGATAAAGAAATGTAATCCCAGCTCTCCCTCCAAAGAGAGATAAATTGAGATGGTTAGCTGAACAATGGATCAGAAGAAGGCCCACATAGCAACTATCTGGTTGCTGACTTTGCAAATGAAAGAGGAATATCAAGTATCAGTATCCCTTCTCTTCATAGTTCTCCTTCTCTCTCTCTCTCATGTCATAGACAAAAGAGAATGGATGCCTTTGAATTTTGGATGTGGAGATAGTTATGGACTGCACGAAGAACAAGTCAATCAGTTATGTACCATATGAAGGCTGACAGCTCATCTGAAGGGATTATCAACAAACAGAAGGTCATATACTTGGATGTATGGACTTGAAAAACTGTTCTGCTTGATAAGACTGAAGAACGTAGAATGAGAGGACAATACATACGATGGAGAGGCTGGATGAAAAAGGTTACTGAGGTCTCCTCAGAAGAGCTATGAGGTGGTGTTCAATTGTCCAGGCATTCAGCAGTATTCAACACGCGGAAACATTTTGGAACATGAGTATCTGGATATCAGGTATCAGGTAATCCAGATATCAGGTAATGTTTTTGCTTCTTCCTTCCTTTATCTGGTAGTCACCAACTTTTTGTCATAAAGGTTATATCTGCTTCCATATTTTTTGGACCAATCTCCAAAACTCAATGAATGTTGAAGTTTCTATCCCTTTGGGCACTTACAGTTGGAAAGCCTGAAAAATCCAGTAAATCATGTTGCAGCTGCAAAAATTAAACAACAAAACTTATGGTTCTCTAACTTCAAGCCAGATAAGAAAATATTATCTTTATAGTTTCAAGTTAGTTATATAATATGGTCTAGTTTAATAAAAAGAAGGACTAGGGGAGACATGATAGCATCTTCCAATATTTCAGGGCTGTCACAGAGAAGAGAGGGAGTCAAGCTATTCTCCAAAGCTCCTGAAGGCAGGATAAGAGGCAATGGATGGAAACTATTCAAGGAGAGAAGCAACCTAGAATGAAGGAGAAATTTCATGACAGTGAGAACAATTAATCATTGGAACGACTTGCCTCCAGAAGCTGTGGGTGCTCCAACACTGGAGGTTTTCAAGAAGAGATTGGACAGCCATTTGTCTGAAGTGGTGTAGGGTTTCTTGCCGGAGCAGGGAGTTGGACTAGAAGACCTCCAAGGTCTCTTCCAGTTCTGTTATTATTCTATTCTATATATTCTGGTTGCAAATTACAGGGTCCCTGTTTGCCTGATGACCTTTTATGGTCCAGCTTTCAGAACAAACAAATAACACATCCTATAAAGAAAAGGAGAAAAAAAAAACAATGAAAGGTTTGGAAAGTATCCAGATGGTTTCTAGACAATTACTTCCAGAGTTTGTAGTGGTTACATATTGCAAAGTCTAAGTTTTCCTTCTGCAGAACAACACTGCAGCTTATATCTGTGGTCCAAGGCACGCTTACTCAGAAGGAAATGCCTCTCTTATTCCCTTTCTCATTCTCCTTACTGGTGGCACAGTGGTTAAAATGTGGTATTGCAGGCTAATTCTGCCAATTGCCAGCAGTTCGATCCTGACCTGCTCAAAGTTGATTTAATCTTCCATCGTTCTGAGGTCAGTAAAAGAAGGACCCAGGTGGTTGGGGGCAAGAGGCTGACTCTGTAAACCGCTTAGAGAGGGCTATAAAAGCAATATGAAGTGGTATATAAGTCTAAGGGCTATTGCTATTTATTGCTATCTTAATCTAGTGTTCCAAATGCAGAGTCTTCAGCATAAATCTCTTCCCTGTTTCCTATTAAGCTATTCCCCCATACAGGTTTTGGGCGTGTGCATTTTCTGTTTTACATTGTACAGGACTATTACCCCTGAAGGATTCTGAAGCTTGGAATACATGTTCTTATTGTAGAAATACCAACAAGAACAATGCAAAAATAATCTGTTTTGGAGTATTTGAATGGAAGCTAATGTACCTTGTCTTGCTTTAGGTCAGGATTTTGGACTGGATACTAAGAGAGACTGCCATGGGAGACTGAGGCAAGGAAAAGTTTGTTTTTTTTTAAAGTCAGCCAAATAAAATATTTTCTGCTATTGCCAAGGAAATCCATATCTTCCTATGACCTGGGATGCAACAGTCTCCCCCTCTAAGCACTGGCCCGTGGGGTGAAATGTTGAGGAAGGGTCTTCCTGGTGTTGCACTTTGGCAGCCTTCTTTTCCTGTGAGCTGAAACCACATGTGTGAGCATGCACACACCTACACGTGTTTGGGGCAATTGCCAATCACATCAAGCACACACACCCTCACCACAATCGTTGCTTGATTGCCTAAAGCAGCAATTACAAGGGATGTGGAGAGCTTGGCTTAGGTTTGGTAGCAATTTCAAAGCATTTCGAAGCCTGTCAGTCAGAGTATAGTGAACGTTTCCCAAGGAACCCTCACGCTTCCTAGCTCTGGAGCAAACGAAAACCAAACCCTGTGTAGACGAAACATCCGTGGGATATCAAAGCACAGTTGGGTGTGTTGGATAGCGATGTATTGGGTAGCCTGTTGGCTGTAGGAAAAAAAATGGAAAGAATCCCCAGGCTGGATCAGTTCTCTGAATGTCTTTATGTAGGGATGGCTCAGGAGTTTGATCTTGATGAATTTGGAAAGAAAACGGTACGGGGCAGCCTCAGGTGGATTGAAGTGCTGATTAGAGCACAGCTCTACGCTGGACTTCACACAACTCTTGATTTTTGGGCAAGGTAATCCTTGGCTTTGCAACAGCATCAAAATGCATTGTGAAGTGCAGCCTACAAAATGTTGAAATCGGTCTATCCATCCACCCTTCACCTCTGAAAGTAATCTGGCAGGAGGACAGAATAAATGCGATGCGATGGAAGTCAGGTAGATGGAAAAGGGAGATTTTCCCCCCTCCCATTCTTAATGTAGCTGCCAAATGTCTGGAAGAGACTTGAGCTCCATCTCCAAAAGAACCAAGGGGATTCCAAAGATCCGGCAACTGGGGAAGGTGGCTGGATGTGTGAGCGTTGGGCCTTTCCACACAGCATCCCTTTGGAGTCTGCTTGTGATACCATGAGACTCCAAGACTTAAATGAAAGCTGAGCCAATTAACTGGGATGTTATCAGCTCGGCCTTCATTCCAGAGAAAAGGCTGCAAGGACCTTCAAGGCAGACTGGCTTCCCTCGGCTGCATCTCCTCCCTTCAAGGTGCCCCAGGCTGCTCTAAGTCTTCTGATTCCCCTCCCATGGAGCCTTTCCCTGGAACACCTCCTCCTCCTCCCCCCCCCCTTTGCAGAAATGAATCAGACACTTAATGGGTCTCTTTTGCAAAGTGGTTTAGATAACGAAGGTTTTAGAGATGAGGATTATTCTTTCAATCTTCTGATACTGTTGTGGAATCCCTCAGCTAAAACCATAGCTAAAAACATGACAAATGCTCGCTGTAATAGCAATAGCAAACAGGATGGGACACAATTGTTCTTTGAATGGGAGACCATGAGGACTTTTAGGGCCATTCAGAAGATGGGGAAATTGAAAAAGAACATCACAGAAGAATCCATTGACAAACCACATCTGAATTTTGGCCAAGAGAAGCATATAGAAATATTGAAAAGATTTGAGCCTGACTTGACTGTCCTTATCCAAATCAAATGTACGGGGAATACCCAATTTATCATTCCAGAAATAACCCAATCTGATATGGATGATTTATGAGCAGTCCAGTTAAGCCCAACATCCAAAATATTTTCCAATAACTAAGGAAGAAAAACAGAGAAAGAATGAACTTTGTGAGAGGCCAGATATTGAAGATTCCAACAAATGTAACATGGTAAATAGTTACATTAAATTAAAACCGGTTTTGTACCCATAGATTTGATTTGAAACCTTAGTGTGATGTTCGATACGTCAACAAGGGCTGTGCAGAATTCCAAACGAAGAAGATATGCAAAAGTGAAATGTGTTCAGAAATAATAACAGGGACCATTCCCGATTGTGGTGCACTTAAGGTTGTTCCTCGGATTACGTCCACTGTATAAAGATTGAGGTGGGGGGGAGTCTTTTTCGAAACAGTAAATGAATTACTTGACAAACTAACTAATAAATCCTATTACAAAAAGAAGACAAAGGAAGAAAGGCTGAAGATCCACAATAAGCCAGTGGAATTAAAAAGGCAACTTTGGTCCAATGGCAAAGTTCATTCTAGTTTTAAGGCAGACCAGTTGATGATTGAATATCATATCCCTCTGCTCTTTTCTTCTCACCAGCTTTCCACATTCTCCCACAGCTGTTGCATTGTTTCCCAGAGTGGTCCACCCAAGCTCCAGAGGTGAGTTTTGTGGAAGCTCAGAAGTGGGGTGGGCTTGGGTCACATACCCCAATGGCTCTTCTTCAGAGAATTCAAAATCAATTCTGCCTTGCTCTTCAAGGGCTCGGCCAAATACAACTCATGCCCAAACTTTGCAGTATAGCAGCAAAAGAGCATACAAACTCTTTGTAAAAACTCCTTGGATCAGGTCAGACAATGAAGAAAGATGCATCCCTTCAAATATCAGAGCTCCGCAACCCACATGCAACTTTGTGTGCTAATGCAAGCAATGAGAGCATTCTTCTTTCTACTTAGCCATATTTCATGCTCTAAGGGCAGGCAGAATATCTGCTACATAAAATATTGGACTTTCAACATGCAAAGAATGTGCTCAGCCTTTAATTTATAGTCTCAGGGGAGGGTGATAACGGCCTTGGGTTTTTGTTCTGCATGGAGCTGTGTGTGTGCTTGAGTTGCACCTGTTGCTGTGCAATATAAAATGAATAATTTTTCAGTCTATTGACTGCTAATAAACTTGGCAAACCACACTTTATTTATTTATTCCAGTTTACTCAGAATAAGCTGAGCTGGTATTGGGGGGCTGGCAGGTGGATTATTTTGCATTTATATTGAGAGACAGATTGCAAAATAGGTCATCCATTCTCCTGCAAACCAGCATCTCCAAAACCTCACGGGTTCTCAGATTATTGTAGCCTTTGGGTGACCCTGATCCAGTTCCTTACTTGGCCAACTAATCCCTGCCTCGTTCATTAAGATCAGGGTTGAAAACTCGAGAAATTCATTAAGCATCTGTACAATGGAAGCGAGACAATTTCTTGGCTTGAGTATATGCATTCTGAATTAAATCCATGCCTTAAGTTAAAAATAGAAATATTGTTGTAAATTCTATAAAATGCTGCTGCTGCTGCTGCTGTGAGAATCACTAAAACTGGTTTTGTAAAAGATTAGCAAGATTGAGGGAAGGGAAGGATGAAAGGAAAGGGAAGGGAAGGGAAGGGAAGAGGGAATTATCCTTGATGGTTGAACTGCCATATCCAGGGATATCATGGCTTTGTATACTAGTGATCATGGTTTGTGAGCTTGACCTCTTCTGAAAATGAAATTCAGGTCCAGAGAAACTTTAGTTCAATCCACAGTAGCAGCTTTGGGGTTCTAAATATGGCAGTCCATTATATGCTTTCCCATTTCCAAGAAGTCATGAGATGGACTTGCAAGTTGATTGTGCTGATACCACAAAGTATGGTTGATAACAAATTGATTATGATTTAGAAGTGAATGTCACTGGATAAAGATAAAGGCAAGTTTGGGGCTGAATGAAAAGAAATGCAGACTCCAACTCACAGGCAGCAATAGTTGCATTTGATTCTGCGTTGGCCAGAATACAGGATACAACTCAACTGTTGGTTCCAGTCAAGGGCTCCATGCCTTAAGAAGAATTTAGACAAACTGGCAACAAGTTAAATGAAGGGAAATGAGAATGACCAGGAATTAACATCTTATCAAGGCAGGTTGAAAGAGACGGAAATGTTTAGCTAATAAAAGACTGGCTGGCTGGGTGCACGATGGCATTCCTCAAATGCTTGAACTGCGGTGACAGTGAAGAATTGCACGCTCTTATCATGGCAGAGGACAAGGCACAAAATAATAGGTTTAGGTTACCGGAACCCAGATATCATCTGAATGTTAGAGAAAAGTTCTTAATAGGAAGAACAGTTCAATGCCCCAGAGAAATTCTGGTCTCTCCTTTGCTAGGGAGGTTTTTGTAAATCTGGATTCTTGCATTGGTCTTTCCTATTTTAACAATGACTCCGGCCTGATCACTGGTAACTTTTAAACAGGCTCATGTTGTTGTTATTGTTATTGTTGTTGGTTGTTATTGGTTTTAGCAAAGTCTCTGAAGATGTGAGCCATGATCTTCTTCTGGATCTTAAAGAAACTACAACCTTTCTCCAATTTAAGATTCAGTGTATATTAAGAAAACTCCTTTATCATGATCAGATCTTAGTTCTTTGCTTTACAAAATCCTCTATGATTTTATAATTCCTTTCTGTTTCTGGTTTAAGAATACAGTCCTAGTAGCAGGTTGGGAAGCCATAATTAATTCACCTTTGCAGGAATCCCCTGCAAATATCCTATTTTCTATGTTTTGTTGCCTTTTAGCAGCTGGTTAAGCTAAGTTGCCTTCCGGAGAAAGGAAACAAAACCTCATATTTTTCATTCTTCTTCTTCCCAAGAGTTTTCTTATCTCCTGTATTTACCAGTAAACACAACATTCTGAGATTCCATTGCAAACCGACTCTCTTTAGCCTCCGGAGCTACAGAAATACGGTTTTCTTCATGACCAAACAGGAGTCAAATTAATCTTCTGGTGCATGGTAATTGCAGTCACAGAAAGAAGAAATACTGAACTGTGTCAGATAACAAAGAACATATTTTTGACACAGAAATGAATCATGATCCAACAAACCGCAACATTTTTTTAAAAAAAATAATTTGGTAAGAACCATGTGATCTTACCTTACTTGATGGACATACCTGAAAAAGACACAACATTTATGGATCCTGCGTTTATATTTTTGGTCCTTTCTGGTCCATCATTCTAATAACAGAAGCATCCGGACCTCACGAAGCTAGAAAAACCTGGGAAAATAAAGGAGGAAAACGACAGCCCAAGAGTTGCAATTGCCAAAGGCCAAATTGCTAGGACCCCCTTCCCTAGAGATTCCCCTTCTCATAACTCGGTTGGCTCCATTTCTAAACCATCTTTGTATACTAACTTTGTATACATGATTTTGCTGGATTCTTCTCTCCCTTTGTGGCTCCCCTGCCCACAATTTTCAGGATGAAGAACAAGCTGGGGGAGTTTGTGGTGGCTGGGAGGGGATGAAAAGAGAGATGCAGTCAGGATTTTCTTTTCTTTTCTGGGGTGAGGTTAAATTATGTTCCTTACATGGGTGTTCTGTTTGATGCCAGGTTAATAAAGGTCTCCTTCCAGGGTCAAACCTTTCAAGAAACCAACAGCTTTCTTTCCAATCAGAATCCTGACTTCCAAAATGGAAATGAAGAACATGTTTTCAGTAGCTTACACGCACTGGAATAATGATGAAAAGCTGCCCTTTGCCAAGCTGGCATTTTCCCCAGTGTACACAATGCTGTGTTTCTCCCAAGAGGGTGCCTGGCAGGACTGGCAAAGGCTTCTGTGGAGGCAGTTGGCAACAAGAAGTTCTTGGATCAAAGTAAGCGAAGGCTTCTAACAAACAGGCCAATTGTTCTTGCTTTTCTGTCAGATATTACACGGAAAGAGCTTTTAAAAAACACGAGGATGCTTCTGCCAGAGCTCTGTGGTTGGCATTAATTAAATAGAGAGGCGGATTAAAAAATTGAGATTTACTGGGTCTTAATTCAAGTCATAGTTGGATAACCAAGTCTGAAAGTTGAGGCAACAGACAGGACCCAATCAACAGATGGACTCTTGCTGGCAGTAAGTTTTTGGCTATTTGAATCAATCTTGTATGTTGGCATTTATGAGAAGTCTTCCAGAGAGGAGTTATAAGAGGACTGCATAAAAGAGTTTGGTTCCCTCCCTTCCAGAATTGTAGATAACCAAATATTTCAACTCCTTCAAATGAATTTTGATCAAAGGGATGGTACCGCAATGATATCTCCATAATCCTTTGCAAGGATACTTGCAATTCATCTTGAAACTAAGACTACCCAGAAAAAATGCTGAAACTCCGGTCTTCTAATACAGTACAAGGCGCAGCATTTCAGCAAAGAAATATTAGTTGTCAGTCTAAAGTAGTTATTTTATTAAGATCTCCATTAATACTGCCAAGCGTGCTGCCTTTATATGATGACAAAGACTGTATATGAAAAGTAGAATTGCTTTTGATATATTAGCTCTGATCCCACTTTCATCTCTTACTGGAAAATCCCTAGCTCTACATTATTCTGAATAGTAATGAACAGGACTTAACTACTCAAAATGATTTTAACATGGAGAACATTTACTCAAAGTTGTAGGGATTCCTCCCACCCCCCTGAGATTGTAATTCAAGGGGCTCCAATTCTCTACAAAACATTTCCCAGCATTTAATTCCTTAAAAAGGATGACTGTTTTGTCCCTTGATTTTGCTAAGTCCAGAATTTAGATTTAACAGTCATTTACAAGTTACATATACTTTCCCTAAAGTATGCCTGTTTTAGGAAATTCACTCTGAATCATGAACTGAGTCATTGTAAAAATTTGGAATGCCAACTGAGTTCACCATATGTTGTCAAATTTTGTAAAAACTGTTGGAGACAACCGAAACACATAGTGGTTCCATTGTGTGGCAGGAGGACTTCAATTCACAGGGTACTTAAATCCCAGACTTAATAGGTGGTCTTCATATGAGCCATTCTCTCTACAGGGGGATGTATTTATATTTATGTCATTGATTTTTATTCATCCTTCTACTCTCCTGCTCTGAGTTTTAATTATTCACTTAGGCGGGTGTGTTTACTGCTTCCATAGGAGATCTTCAAGAAAGCCACGTTGATTTCTCCTCAAAGCCATCGACAGTGGAGACGGACTTTGATTCTACCTTAAAACACTATGAACCCAAACCTTAAAACTTTTAAAATCTTTGTTTAAAAAGAGCTTTAAATTTGGTTTTCAGGTCTTCAGGACATTCGGTAAGAACTCTGAGTCTGATCTAAATTAGGGGACTTTGTTGGAAGATTCTGGAGGAAATGTTGGCCTTGTCGCTCCATTCATTAGTGAAGTTTCATTTCGTTCTGTTGTGGCTTGTCTTACTGGAGCAAACCATCTGTTGACTTAAATTATTCCTTCCCGGCAAGCAGCTCTGATATGGCATCGCCTGTTTCCTCCACTCATGACAAAGAAGTCACCCCAAAGGTTTGAGTCGATGTGGGTGGCTGAAAGCATCTTGGCTGAGCTGAGCATCTGCCTCGGGGCCTGCAGCTGATTGCACGGAAGAGTCCCAGCTCATCTAACCCAGCCAGGAACCAGGCTCTCCAAAGCCCAACGACAACCCACTCTGAGCCACTTCCAGCCCTGCATTATTCTCCTGTCATCTTCAAGAACCCAAGGAAATAATTGCCAGAGGGAAAACTGTCCCAGGGAAAAGGCAGGGAAGACAGGTGACACCCCCTCCCCCACTTGAAATCCACTTGAACCATTAAAAAAGTTTTTAAAAATCCCCCTTGGGTTGAGCTGAACTCCTGCAGAGTTCACAGCTACTATCTGCTGAGCTTCAAGTATAAGCACAGAAAATCCACAACTTTTCCTAATCGAAATTTTCTCCCTCCATCGGTATTTATTTTTCCTCCATAAAGAAGGTATAGAGACAGCAAGAGCCTGTGTTTATAGGTTGTCATTTATAATATAAAAAAATCTTTGTTTCTTTGTTTTGCACCCTAGTCAAGAGAAAGGTCAAATCTTGGAAGCAGGACTCAAGTTCTGTGCAGTTGCCCTAAAATGAGAAAAAAAAGCCATGTTGGCAGTTTGAAGTTGGCAGAAGCCCTGGGTGTCCACAGGAGGAGGTCCAAAGGGCCAAGAGGGCAGCTTCAATTGTACAGCAGTCAAAGGGCTCATAGAGCTGGCACAGACTTCAAAATCACACAAGCAGGATCTTTTAACCTTCTCACTTATATACTTAATATGGCGTGTATATGGATGCAAATATGGCTAGTATCAAAGAGAATTATATTTCTTTGGACCCTTCCTTCCTTCCTTCCTTCCTTCCTTCCTTCCTTCCTTCCTTCCTTCCTTCCTTCCTTCCTTCCTTCCTCTCCCTATCTTCCTTTCTTCCAGTTGGTTTCTTTTCTTTTCTTCTTTTTCCTTCCCTTCCTTTCCTTTTTTTTCTTTCAATGTCTTTTGCTTCACCTTTTTTAAATTAAAAATGGTACAGACGGGATGTGAAGCCAGTGGCTGCCTCCGTGCCAGCCTTTCCAAGAGGCTGATTGGTGGGAAACCAGCCTGCGAGGGGGAGAGGGGCTCTTGCTCCCCTTCTGGCTGGCATCCTGACCTTCTAATTCCATGGAGCTTTGGATGTGGGGGACTAACTAACCCTGCGATCCAACGCTTGCAGGCAGAAAGAGCTTAGTCCCAGCACAGTGGAGGGCCTTCTCTACTTTTTCTGGCTGTGTACTTTGGAACTTTTGAGCAGGGTGGAAGTTCTCGTCCTTTCACGGAAAGGGAAAAAGGGGGGAAAGCAAACACTTGTTTTTACCTCCAAGGAAGTCACAGCAAACTGCCAGATGCCTCAAGGATTTCATGTTCTCCTGCAGGAGCCTGGAAGCAGCTGACCAAATGGCCTCTTTCCTATTCAGCTCATTTGGAAGCAAGAGACACTGACTGGCTGAAGTTGTGGGTCTTCAGGCTGAACCTCAGTGTGTGGCGTCAGATGTTTTGCTGTGCCACCCTGGCTGCTTGCTTAGAAAGCTTTGGGGGGGGGGGGAAACTCTGTTTCTCTTCAGATTATACGGAGTGGTCCTAATTAACAAACCCCTCAAAGCAACAACAACAGCAAAACACATGGGGAAGGATGTCCCGTCCCTTGCAAATGGAACGGAGGCTGTTCTTCTGTCAACCAGATGAGAAACACCACACAATACACACAAAGAACCCCCAATCAACGCAGGCAAACATTGTGAGACAAAGCTGGGCCACTTCTGAGCCTCTATAAGTCATGCTGAATGGTGGCAGGACCTCCCAAATTAAACGGGTCCTCTCCAGGAGGTCCATGTCTGATTCAACCCTTCTGGAAGCAGAAAAAAGGAGGACAATTGATGGCAGGCCAACTTTTCTGTTGACCAGAAAGGCAAATAGAAGCTCTCTGGTCAGAGTGTTTTGGGAGAAATTATTAACTCTCACCAGACCTGGGTGCCTTTGATGGATGTCCAAAAGAAGGTGTAGTTGTAGGCTTGGTTGAAAAGTAAACAATGAAAGAAAAGCCTTCCATTGTTGTCGTCCAGCTGCCTACATGGTGGCATCTATGACCGCACCAAGAACCGGGCTTCACTTAAGGAAGTTTTTACTTTTACTTGTTTGCTCTAGCAAATATAATTTATTTTCCTTCTATTGTCCATCAGACGTGATTGAAATCAAGAGCATCCACTGATATAACTGGTGCAACCTCCTTCTAAGAGAGAGGGCCTGAAAACTGTCTGACCCAACTTTTCCTTTTCCCAGTTTTGGAAAATGTCATAACTTCCCCCCACCCTGCAACACACACACACACACCACAGAGTCTGTTCTTTTTATGCAAGTGTCTCAGTAGGGGAAGTCCTGAACTGGATCCTCCACCCACAAGAGAGTAATTACAAATTGCTCCATTATCCTCAGGATACGTCCAATATCCCCCTTGGAGGTAATTACCTCTGGTTTAAGAAACCTGCATCTAAGAGGTGTGCTCACTTTCATACTGGAGATAGCATTTTCTCAAAATGTCCAAATAGATCAACTGAAACATTCACAGAACATAGAGTCCTGCATCCAGTTTTGGTCACCACACTATGAAACCGATGTGGAGACTCTAGAAAGAGTGCAGAGAAGAGCAACCAGGAGGATTAGGGGACTGGAGGCTAAAACATACGATCAACGGTTGCAGGAACTGGGCCTGGCTAGTCTAGGGAAGAGAAGGACCAGGGGAGACATGATAGCAGTCTTCCAATATTTGAGGGGCTGCCACAGAGATGAGGAAGGGGGTCAAGCTATTCTCCAAAGCACCTAAAGGCCAGACAAGGAAGAATGGATGGAAACTGATCAAGGAGAGATTCAACCTGGAAATAAGGAAATTTTTTTCTGACAGTGAGAGCAATCAACCAACGGAACAGAAGTTGCCTTTGGAAGTTGTGGGAGCTTCATCCCTGGAAGCTTTCAAGAAAGTGGGTGGGGGGTTGGACTAGATGACCTACAAGATCCCTTCCAACTCTGTTAATCTAATGATGAGTACATTCACCTTGAAGATGGGGGAATGCACCAAAATATGCCCAGGAGTATAAATCTTGCATTTGTGTCCAAAGGATCTCTCTCTCCTGAGGGCTTTTTATTAGAACCCCATTAGGCGATTCAGCAAAGTCTGATTAATCCAGGGACTGTATTGCAGGATAAGTGACCACTGATTTTTTTTTCTTGATAACTAGCTGAAAAGTAAACTCTTTTTCCCAATCCAGCTTCAAAACCAGACCTATCCACAATGCTATCGTTAATGCCATCGTACCAATAGAAATGTACTAAATAAACCAAATCCGAATGTTTATCAGATAACCCAAAGAAATAAATATTATTCCAAAGCCTGACTGAGGGCGTTTTCAGACAAGGAGGGCCAGGCTTTCTCAGACTTCATACTACAGGCAGCGTTTGACAGGTTTCTTACTAACCTCAGCCAATTGGGACCGATCTCCAGAATTCCTCATAGCTGATACAGTGAAAATAGAGTTTATTGTGTCTTGATGATATGGAAGTTAAGTTTAGAAGCCTTTCAGTGCCGGAAAGGTATGCAAATCTAATGTAAACAACAAAGAAAGTGGTTAGGAGCTTAAGATTGTATAAAATGCATACATACATGATTAAAACCACAATTTTAGTATCAAACTTCTAAGGTTATCTTGCCCGTTTTGACAATTTCCTAGAAATGAAATCCCTGCTTTAAATTCAAAGTTTTCATTGTTTTTGAATGGATTTAAATAGGTGGAAAGAGAAAAAGAAAAAGGAAGAAGATAGTTGTTTTTATCTGCTTACAAGCCATACCCCAAACCTCAGGAACTCTCTTTCTTTTCTTTTCTTTCATTTTTTCCTCTTTCTTTCTTTCTTTCTTTCTTTCTTTCTTTCTTTCTTTCTTTCTTCTTCTTTCTTTCCTTTTGCTCCTGCAAATATATAGCATTCTGTTGAAATGTGATGACGTGTATACCTTTACTTTATTTTTCTTACTAAGCAGACATCACATCTCTCTCTTTGTATAAACACTTAAAGCCACTTACAAAAATTTAAAAAAACATCAAATGAAAGATAGAACTGTAAAAATTAATGCAATTAAAATCAAAACTGAAATCAGCAGCATTAAAATGAAAGTTGGATCAAAAATTTGACTTTTAATTTTCTCTTCCCCATTTTAGTTCATGAAAATGACTTTGCGTCATACCTGCCTTTCTGCTCTTTTGGGGGCCCTCTAGCCACAAATGAATAAAGTTAAAGTTAAGTGGGATACTTTGCATAGCCCCAAATTAGGCTCAAGTGAATCTTGCTTGCACGCCTGTTCTTTATCTTTAACCTGAGCAGTTGGAAAAACATATCCAAAGAGTTGTAAAGCCAACAGCCTTTTCCTCCATGTTTTCATAAACTCATGGTGCCTTCCAAAGGCATTTAACATACCATCTGGGCTGCCCAAACTGGAGCGCTGAGAAAAAGTCAACCATATTATATGACAGACGAGGGAGTCTGAGGGAACGTTAAAAGCATTTTGGAACCTCTGGCAAAGAGCTTCATCCATGGCTGGCTGATAGTCATCTCAACATTTTCTTTTCTTTCAGAGGCAGTCAAGAGAAGGTCTCCATGGGAAGCCAATCTGCCAGACTCCTTCTTTCGAACACATTGGAAACATTATTCACCAAACATTATCCATCCATCTACCCATCCATCCATCCATCCATCCATCCATCTGTCTGCCTGTCCGTCCATCCGTCCGTCTGTCCATCCATCCATCCATCCATCCATTCATCCATCTGTCTGCCTGTCCGTCCATCCGTCCATCTGTCTGTCTATCCACCCATCCATCCATCCGCCTGTCTGTCTGTCTGTCTGTCTGTCTATCTATACCAGGGGTGTCAAACTCACAGCCCATGGGCCGGATGCATCATGTGCTGGCCACACCCACACCTAGTTTAGCAAAGGGGAAAAAGAGTCACAATACATCACATGACAACGCTGTGATAACCTGAGTTTGACACTCCTGATCTATATCATCTAGCGAGCTAGCTCGCTAGCTAGCTATCATCTATCTATCTTGCACACACACACACGCACACACACACATACTGTATCTCCTTTAATGTATGTATATTCCAAGAAATGTTCATTCATTTTACGGATGAAATTACTTTACTGACTGAACAGCTATCTAGCTATCTATCATCTCTTTATCCATCTAGTTGGTTACACAGCAAAAGTGTAGAGGACAATGGTTCAAGGGAATTGCTTATAGAAGAGATGCGCAAGCTGCAGAATGATGCAATTGTGATGATTGGATGATAGATCTGCCAATCAAAGGTGTTGTGTATACTTGTATTTATAGGACTTAGAGACCTGGTAGAATTAAGCGAATAAAAAACTATTCATTTTTGGCTTACTGTATTTTCTAAGTCTATGAGTCATCCTGCATCTTCCTTCTCTTATTATCTTAGATATATACAGAATTTGTAAGTAGAAAAAATTTGCAAATAATAATCTAGCAAGGAAGGCACAAAATAGCAGTCCAATCTTATTTCTAGCATTCATAACACCGTATCAGAGTTTGTCTTAAGCCACTCAGAGTCGCTTAAGATGGGTGGCCATATAAATCTTTTAAATAAATAAATAAATAAAATTAAAATAAATATTAGTAAGTCAAGCCATCCCTGACCCGTTATTTTACATTTGCTCTGAGTACCAGATTCGTTCCCTCACTACGTTCATTGCAACTCTACAATAGGACAGAGCCCCACTGAAACCTATGGAGCTTCCACCAGGGTTGGCATTATAATAACTGGCTATTAGTTTCACTAAGACTATATCAGGTGCTCCTGTCCCAAACAATGCCTGGAATCCAGACGATGCTTTGAATCCAGACCAATTTATATATCAACAGCTGCTCACAATGTGGCTGATTTATTCTTGGTTACTTTTTTTAAAAGGCAGAAAGAATTTGTCTGTGTTATTTTACTTTATTTGAACTTCATCAGCATTAAAAAGGACATTGCCCTGACAAATAATTATTGCATATTTATAATATTTCCTCACATAGATGCTCACTATTCATCATACAACGCAATAATGCCCTTGGCAGCCTCCTTAGGCTACAGTTTGGCAAGAATTTCCAAATTTCAGATGGAAGGGGAAAAATCCTCCAGGTTCAATAATCCTTGAATTGGGAAAGGAAGAAAATGAATAGGAGACAAATCCAATAGATGTTGATTCCTCTTTTAAGCCAGAAGGAAGAGAAGGGAAATGGGTGATACATTTAGCACTCAAACATATAAGTTCCCTTTTCACTTTAGAGAAAACAAAAACAAAAAGTATTGACTATCATTCCTATTGGATCAGGGAGTCTCCAACCTTGGCAACTTGTGAAGACTTGTGGACTTCAACTCCCAGAATTCCTCAGCCAGCTTTGCTGTGGGAGTTGAAGTCCACAAGTCTTAAAGTTGCCAAGGTTGGAGACCCTGTATTGGATGATTCTTACTCCTTCTCCCGA